ATGTGCTGCACTGACATTATTATTTAGTATCTTGATGATGGCTTGAAAGTACTGAGGCTTTACAAGGAACTGCCATCTAGATTATAATTTTATAACTTATTGGTTTGGGGGTTGTAAAATGAATCATGCAGCTTTAAAAAGCTTAAGTCAAACTTACTTCATTTTTGTTCTTTAATTATCTGGATATTCTGCTTTTAGGACTTTTTTTTTGCCGAGTGTTTTTCACAAGGTCATGAAACGCATGTCTATGCTTAAATTGAACTTCTTCGGTTCAACCCTGTATCATTGTGGAAACGTTTTCTTGGCTTGTTCCCAGCAACAGCCTGATGACAGCTCAGAGTACAGAAGTTTCCATATCATCATTGAGGCCCAGTCCCAAATCCTGTACTGAAATAGGGCGAATTCTTCAGTGACAACTCTTGTAGACAGTCATTTGCTCAGGTGTTGCATTGTACATTTGGCTGTGTAGTCAAGTGTGAATACAGAATAAGAGGTGCAGATTGTATCTAAATGCCAAATCTTCCACATTGTGTGCAAGAGGGAGACTTACCTTCCTCATGCAAAGGGGAGAAGTGTTTTGGCAGCATCTAGGATATTTGCTGCTTTGACAGGACCCCTTGCATAGCGGTGAGTAATTTTTTACATGGATCTCCTCGGTGAGTCCTAAGCAATAACAAAGTGTATGTTTTTATAAGAGAAGGAGTGAGGGTTATCCCCCTTGTTTCAATTAGTATTAAAAAAACCCCAACAAAACCCAAAAAAATAAACCCCAGAAAACAGTCCTGCAAAACTTCCTGGAAATCTTCACCCCGTGGTGGTGATGCATCCTGAAAGAGGAAGCGGTAGGTTGCAGCTTTGCTGTCTAGATCACTTCGGACCTCAGGCAAGCTGGTACTATTGGATTTTGGTTGCCAGAAGAAAGTGCTCTAAATAATTTCGTATGAGCAGGCAAGGTTAGCACTGCAGGGAACCTTTTCTGCCTGCTGTGTGGTTAAATCATCTTTGTGTGATGGGGTTATTTTTAACCTGTTGTAGTCTTCTAAGTCACATACTGCCTCTGCTTCTGTGCATGATGTCATTGGAAGCTGAATGATTGCCTCTTCCATTGGGGCGCCGACCGCTGCAGGTCCAGGCTCGCCACCGCCAGGCTGGGTGAATCCGGGCACTCGGGCAGCTCCTGGCTTCTGCTAGGGTCTCCTAGCCTGTGTCCTGGGGACTGGAAGCACAGGAGCAGCTGCCATCCTGCCAGTGCTGGAGGGACCTCATGAGTGCAGGAGGGACAGCAGGACCCTGCTTTGCCCACCACGTGCTGGTAGACATCCTCATCAGCAAGGTGCCATGGCAGAAGCGTCAGTCTCTCCACAGTCTCTCTAGTAGGTAGCAGCTATGAGGAGCTGACCTCCTTCTCTCACCCGCCTGGATTCGCCCCGGTTCTGTCCTGAATGTGCTTCCACATCCCAGTCTCCCTCCTTGTGCCCTT